ATATGCTTGAAGAATGCCGCAATGCCGTCCAACTTCGTTTTTTATATCGAAACCGTGGTGGTTGTATCATGTAACTCCACCTCCATGTGAAGTTCCAGCATTAGAAAATTCATGGGAAACTGAAATGATTACTTAAATCTGAGTTGTCTCCTGCTGGTAGCTTGGTTTTTAGCTATGGGTGAATATAATAGTGTATGGACCATAATTAATAAGAACAGTGGCTCGTGGGTTTTCAGGTGGGATGGTGTGCCTATTTTAATAGTATTGTGCGTGATGGGCGATTTGTAATTGTTTGAAATATATATATTTTTAAATTTAAATTAAATTTATTAATATTATATATATATATATATATATTTATAATTATTTTTAATATTTATCGGGTCGGGTATCGGGGCGGGTAATCGGGGCGGGGATTACCGAACCCGTCCCCGTCCCTGTTTAAAATAAACGGATTTCCCCCGTCCCCGTCCCCGTTTATCATCCCCGAACCCGACCCGTTTAATTCGGTTTTCGATTTTTCCCGTCGGGTTTGGATTTTTTTGCCATCCCTATGAGCAAACAAAACCTTGAATTTAAAAACTCCCACTTTACTCTCGTATGATGCTTGTTAGAACAAACATAAACCCTACTATCTGTTACTGACAAAGGATCAGTGTTATCAACCAAAACAGAAGCAGTAGATTCAACAGGTTCCTCGCACAGAAAATGGTGCTCATCAGTGGGAGAAGATCCTCTCAAAGAATTCAATGTCTGATCAAGCAGATCATGGGATGCAGTCGGAGTTACAACAGCATCATGCTCAACCCGATTATCAAAATCCTTAGAAACAACATCAATCCATAAACCATCAATAGATCAAGTAACAGTAGCTCCGCTAGCCCCATAAGCACCCAGAGCAGACTTACGATTGTTCATTCTAAATTATATGGTTATTGTATTGATAGGCATAATAGAGTGAATTTGCAGTTATGTATTGATTAGGGAATCCTTTGTTGATCCCTAGTTGATTGTATTTTTTTTTCAGTTTATTACTGCATCATTTCGATATTTGAATGAGTATCACTTATTTATCCAAAAAAAAATTATTAATGCAATATATGAAGACTAAACTTCATACTTATATATAAATCTTATTACTTGATTATAAAAATAATCATCTTATTCATCAAGGTCTTTTACCTTCTAAAATATCAAAATAATATTAAATAAAATTAATAATTAAATAATCTCCATCAATAAAATTACATTAAGATGTGAATTAAATCATTTGAATTAATATTTTTTTGAAGTAATATTTACTCCTTCCATCCTATAATTTATGTCTTGCACATAGTTTTATGAGTTATTTAATCAAGAAAAATGACAAATTTACCTATAAACGATGATTACTAAATTTGACAGATTTATTTTGATAAGTATTAAAGAATGAAACATATAAGGATAAGAAAAGAAATATAAATATTATGTTTGTTGACTTTTTTAATAGAGTACTTATTTTTTATTAAACTAAGGTGATTATAAAGTAGTATTTGTTTTAAATATTCTCAACCATTTGACAATGAACGCTCAATTGTACTACTGCAGCCGCTGGTGCTGGAATCCGTAACCTCAAGGAACAATAACAATTTCGTTCACCATTAAGTGTCGACACCGTTTTTCGCCCGGGCAGGGAAAGAACGATACCGACTAGGGGGTTTTCTCTTTTGAAATTTTTTTTCGAAATGCGAGGAGTCGCCACCAATCATTTAAGGTGCGATTGGGACACTATAAAAATCGGGTGATTTTAATAAAAACATTTTATTTTTATCAAAATACCATGTCTTAGGGTCTGCGAAAATTCAGAAATCGAGTTCGGGAGTCAGTTACGCGTGGGGAAGGATTAACACCCTCACAAGTGCCCAAATATTGGTATCTAGTTGATTAACATACATTTAAAATCGAAAATTTTGAGTTTGCTCTTTATTTAATTTGAAAATGATTACAGATTCAAAGTTGAAAAAGATATTCGTTTATTGAGACCGATAACATTCGCTCCCAAGCGTAAATGCGGGAGATCAACTATTGTTCCTAATAACCGAATATTACCTTGTTTTTAGAAAATCATGATGTGGTCTTTGAAATGGATGTTGACCTATTTCGGGAATCACCAATAGTCGCCCCCTGAGCATACTTGCGAGAGATATACCATTAATTCCCTAATAAAAAACATTGCCTTAGGTTTGAAAAAACAATGCAATCAAACAATTTTTTATTTAATCCTAATTAAGTTAAGGTAAATTAAAGTCTTTTTCTAGCTTAAAGTATAGAATTATGAAAATTAAAGAACCTAGAGGCACAAACCTAAAAGTGTATGTTCTAATATTAACCCTATTTGATTATTAAACTAATTATTGAATTGAATAACCGAGATGGTCACTCGAGCATTTATGCGAGGGTAGACTTGAATTATTCCCTAAATTAAGAGTAGTTTGAAATTTAACCTAAAATGGAGGCTCTAATATTAATTTAAATTTATTTTAATAAATATTTTCATTCGAGTAATTAAATTGGAACCTCGAGCAAAAGCGATGACCAAATTAAGAATTCTCTTAATTTAATGACTAAATGTGAAATTAGCCTAAGATGAAGGTTCTAATTAATAATCCTAGTTACCTATGGTCAATTTATAATTAAAAATTCAAGGACTAAATCTAGAGAAACTAAGTTTAGGGACTAAATCTAAAGAAGTCTAAACTAAGGACTAAACCCGAATATTAGTAATCCAACAATAATTAACTTAAACGAATATAAAATCAGTCTAAAGAAGTCTAAACTAAGTTTAGGGACTAAATCTAAAGAAGTCTAAAGAAGTCTAATTATAAGCTCAAAAACAAATAAATGAAACATATAATAAGAGACTAAATTAAAGCAAAACAAACTTTGAAGTCTAAATCAAAACAAAATAAAAATAAACTACTTAGGGACAAAAATACAAAACACTCTAGAAATTAAAGGGACCTAAAAGAAATTATACCATTTATTTAAGCCTAAAAAATAATCTGTTAAAATAAAAAGGAAAAATTAAAAAATCAGTCCACGAAAATTTAAAAAAATTAAAAGGTTATTACACATGACTAAAGTGTAAAAACACGCTAAAGGTGGGGGACTAAACTGAAATTATACCAAATATTTCAAAGCATAAACAAAAAATGGAAAATTATAAAAACAGTCCCTTCCAGTGACCATTTTGTAAAAAAACGAGAATTGTTGGGGGACTAAAAAGTAATTCTCCCCTCTCTCTAGAAATCCGGCCAATCCCGATGGCCGTTCACCCTCCGGTAGTCGTCCTGTTTGTCGCCGGACGTCGCACCGCCGTCGTCTCCGGTGGCCACCAAAATTTTCAGAGAGGCTCATCTCAGGCTCTTCGTCACGGATCTAAGGTTGGTTTTGCACGAAACAACCTCCATCGCCGTGAAAACGGTCGAGACCGTTCAGCTTTTCGGGCTCCGGTGACTCCTCTGACAACCAAGAAAAGCCCCGATCTACCAACCTTTTATTTTTTTTCGTATTTTTACTATAAAAGTGGCTGGATATGGTTGTTATTCGATTAAAAAAACTTATTTTTTATTTGTTATCCGAAAAGTAAAAAAAAAATTAGGTGTTAATTTTTTTAAAACCGAAACTAAGAACAGTAACACTGAAAAAAAACTATGCGAAAATAGAGGGAAAAAAGGAAAAAAGAAAAATGTAACCTTGTTGTTTTATTGCTTTTTGAAACAAGCAAGTAGGGTGTTCAAATAACCGAACTAATTCGGTTAACCGATTGAACCGAATTAGTTCGATTAATTTGGTTCGGTTATCGAATTAGTTCGGTCGGTTAACGGTTAAGAAAATTTTTAAAATTCGGTTAACGGTTAATTCGGTTCGAATTCGGTTAATTAACCGAATTAACAGAATTAACCGAAATTAAATTTTAAATATTAAATATATTATATATAACATATGAGCTCAGCCTAAACCATTTAAAACTCAATTAATAATTTAATATCCAATAAATTTTAAACCTAAATCAATATTAATTAATTAAAAAAATTATATGAAATTTTATTTTATATTTATATATTATTTAAATTAATTGTAAACTGTTTTTTTAATTAAAATATATTATATATATTATATATAACATATGGACTAAGTCCAAACTATTTAAAATCTAATTTATAATTTAAGATCCAATAACTTTTAAACCTAAATCAATATTAATTAATTAAAAAATTTATCTGAAATTTTTATTTTATAATTATATATTATTTAAATTAATTAGAAACTTTTTTTTTTGAATTAAAAACATTTAATTTTATATAAATTAAAAAAATTAAAAAAAAATCGGTTAATTCGAAAATTAACCGAATTAACCGAAATTTATTCAGTTCGGTTAATATTTTCGAAAAAAAATTTGATTCAGTTAACAGTTAAAGAAAAAAATTCAGTTAATTCGGTTATGATTAATTTAATTCGGTTTGATTTTAACCGAATGAACAGCCCAACAAACAAGTACAGAGTATTTTTTGAATCTAGCCGAGAGTTATTACAGTGTTTGATTTGGGTTTTATGCCCATTTACACTGGAAAAAAATGATTTAAATTTTGTTGTATTCTTTGTTTTCTGCATGTGTTTGGCATGTTGAAGTGGCAACCGCTTTGCTGGAGCAGAGAACGACAGTGATGATAGGGGCTGGGGGAAGCGTTAACCGATTAGGTGTTTGAGTGGTTATTGGGTCAGGTTTTAGGTTTAAAATTCGGGTCGGGTTTTGGGTTATGACTTTAAGTAGTTGGGCTTGAGGCCCGTTGATTGTAAAAATAGTACTTACGATAAATTAATTCGTGTTTAATAAAATATTTTAAATGAGATAATTTTAAAATTAAAAATAAACTATGTTAATGGAAAGAAGAGATATGTATTAATGATAATATATATATATACTAATATCAAAACAAAGACGATGGGTAGGAGTAGAAAATAGTACCTACGTTGGTCCTACCCGTAGTGTTTGGCTTTTGTTTCAAATGCTCTGACTCTCTTCTTTTCTCTTTCTCAGAAGTCTACAATCCTTTCTTTATACAAAACCAAACGCCACACCTCTTTCTCCACGACCTCCATTTTCATTCTACCTTCTTCTCTTACCTTGTGTTATCATTTCTATTCACATCAATCATACAAAGCCAAGAGAAGTTCATTGAAAAGGAACCCCAAGAACATCAAAATCTCATCTCCACACCATGAAAGGTGAGTATGTGGATTCCCAAAATGGAAACCCCAACAACATGTTTTCCAAACTTCACCGGCCTTTCTCTCTCACTTCCACCGGTGGAGCTTCCATTGAAGTGGTTCGTAGACCAAGGGGTCATCCTCCAGGTTCCAAAAAAAATCCCAAACAATCGATCCTCGTCGATCGGAAACACAACGACCCTGCCATGAGTCCTTACGTCCTTGAAATCCCAGGCGGGAACGACGTCGTTGAAGCTATCTCCGGCTTCTGTCGTCGGAGAAACGTTGGAGTCTGCGTACTTTATGGTTCCGGGACCGTTTCGAACGTAACTCTCCTTCAACTTTCGTCTACTCCGGGAGCTACGATAACTTTTCATGGAAGATTCGACATATTATCCCTCTCTGTCACTGTCCTGCCCCCAACGACGTCGTATAACGTCCCCAATACGGTCTCCATCTCTTTAGCGGGTCCTCAGGGGCAGGTCGTCGGAGGGTTCCTGGCGGGCTCCTTGATGGCGGCTGATACGGTGTTTATAGTTGCCGCTACGTTCAATTATCCTTCGTATCATCAGTTAGCGCTAGGTATAGAAGGAGAAGGGGAAGAAGAAACAAGGAACACGATGTCGTCTGGCGGAGACGGAGAAGGTGAAGGACAGTCTCCGCAGTTTTCTGGTGGCGGTGGAGATAGTACCGTTCACGGTGGTGGTGGGGGCAATTCGGAATCTTGCGGGATTTCTATGTGTAGTCGTCATTTCGGTGGCGGATCAGATGTGATTTGGACTCCGACTGCTAGACAGCCGCCGCCTTACTAATGGGTTTCAAAGTTTAGCTTTTTATTTTCATTATTTGGGAATTATTCTGAAAGAATGAAGTTTAGTTTTCTATTTATCATTAGGGTGTATTTGATTAACGGAATATAATATTATTAGTGTTAATGTAAGATTATTAGGGAATATGATTACTAGAATGTTGTATTTTGTATTTGATTGATTTAGCAGGAATGTAAAATTATCTTGTTTGATTAAAGAATAAAAGATTATTAGAGTGTATATTTAATCAAATTGTCTTTATTATATATTTGAATTTTTAATAAGTTAAAAAATGTTTACATATTTTCTTTAAAAAATTTAAATTTATAAAATTTATATATTTTTTTACAAAATTAAAAATATTAAAAAATTTAATGAAAAAGTTAAATTTTATTTTAACCTCTGAACTTTATATAAAATTTTAATTATAGATTTTTTTGTAAATCTAAAATAGTTTAAGGATAAATTTATAATTTAATATTAGTAGAATTTTTACTATTCAATGATAGAAGACGAATATTTTTGAAAAGAAAAAAAATTGAGGGTATTTTAATCTAAAACATCGGTAATTCAACAATACCTAAAAAAATGGAAGTAATGACATTCCTGATAATATACCTAAAAAAATTACTATTAGTAATAAAACATTACCGAGAATGAGATTTCCGACCAACCAAACATGGGAATATGGATTCTATTCTCTTGAAAATCTCACATTTTTTGATCTAAATATCCCTTAATAGTATTTGATAAAGTATCAAACTCTTAAATCGAATTATCCGACATATTTGTTCTTGCCCAATTTTTGTAAGTTAATTTGCTCTTATAATTATTTCTACTATTTCATTTTTTAATATCTAACCATTCATGCTACCTTTTTTTATTTATTTTTCGAATTTGTATATTATTATTCTAAATAATTTTATGATGTTTGACAAGTATCGTTGAATACTACTAACGATGAGTACTGTTGAACACCATTAATTTAATTTATAAAAAAATAAAATTCTAAAAGACTATAGTTATAAATCAAATAAAAATATTAAAAATAATTCATTTAAAATAAAAATATTAATTAAATTTTTAAAATTTTAAATTTTATAAATTAAATTAATGATGCTCAAAATTATTAATCATTAATAGTGTTCAACGATACTCGTCGAATATGACACAATGACGAATCCAAAAAAATTTGTTGATTGTGTCAATATAAATATAATAAAAATTTATCTAATATTACTCATATATATAATCTTTCAATTATAAAAATTTAATATAACTAAAACTAGTATAATTACATGTTCTAAAAGAACTTTTAAATTTATGTAAAAAAAATACATAATTTGAAATATAATATTTTCATCAATTAAGATGAATTGTCCTTTTCATAAAACCAAATTCATCTATGACCGAGCCAAAAGAAAGTTTGAATAATTTTGATTGAGTAAAACAACATATGAGGAATACCTTTAAAATCTTTATTATAATTTTGTAAGTGATGTTAAAAAATTGTTAAACAATCTAATAACACCACAAGTTCATAAGTAATTAATGAATAAAATAAAAATAAAGTATGAAAATTCAGAAAAATAATAAAAAATTACAGAAAAATATCAAAAACTTAAAATTTTAGTTAAAATATCCGATAACCTTAAGGATTTAAAAAGAATTATTTAAATTTAAAAAACGCATAATGAAAATAAATAAACAAGAAAGAGAGAGCATTACAATATATAAGTTATAAGAAGATGGTTCTTAATCTAAAATTTTAAAGAGATAAAATTATAGTTAAATTTGAAATTAAATATAATTTTAATTTAGTTAAAAGTTATTAAAAATTTAATAAAATGATATAATAATTTTCTTCTCTCTTAGCACTGGAGAGCCATGACCTCAGTAGGCTCAGGCCTCCCTCCCTTTATGTGACGGACTCATCCTATTATCGTTTGGTGGAAAGAGCTGAATATGGTTAAAACAAAAACAAAAGGATAAGGGGATAGTGGGCTCAGGTAGTGATCGGAGCTGTCGTCTACTCGCCATTAAAATATCTGGCCAAAGCTTAAAAGGACACCTTTGAGCAGATACAACCCATTTATTGCTTTGGATTTTATAAGAATTAATACGAGAAGATTAAATTTAGTAATATATTGATTAAAATAGTGTTAAGTTATGTAAAACATTAATTTGATGATTATTTTTCCAAAAATTAATAGAGATTAAATTATTCATTTATCAGAAGCCTATCACTTTTTCTTTTTTAGGTGAATGTATTCTTATTGCATTAATTGAATTTCCTTTATTCTTTAATGGTAGAAAACTTGGAACAATTAGTTTGTCGAGATTTTACCCTCAAGAATCATGTACGATTTATAAAGTTAATAATGCATCAACTGGCGGGTCCATACAAAGGTGACCGTTTTATTTACGAGCTGGAATTAGGGTGTTCATTTGGGATTTTTTAAGTATTATTTACATCGATTTAGAAATTTCATAATTGAATACAAATTTTATGAAATTAAATGGTCAAACTCGACTCAAATTTGAAATTAAAAATACTTCAACTCGAGCTAAAAAATATTTGAATTCGAGTCAGTTGAAGCTCATATTCAAACTTAAATTAAGTACATTGAAGTTTCATAGTTTATTTTTTAATAAAAAATAATGATTATTTAATTTTAAAAATCAAAATAAAATATTTTTTTTAAGTAGAATATCAAGTAATATGCTTCCAGTGGCGAATTCACATATTCTTGAGAGTGGATAAGTACCGTCATGAAATTTGATTTTTCTCCAATTAATTATCTATTTTATTGATAATATCCGTCCTAAAATTTTATGTGTTCACATCATTCAAAAGATATTTTTTGTTTTTAATATATATGTGTTCGTTTTAAAAAAATATTTCTAGATTTATTTTAGTCGTTTAAAAATTAAAATTACTGCTTAATATATATTGTTTCATTTAATTAGGGCTGTAAAATCAGGTAATCGGACAGGTTTCATTCGGATCTTGGTAGGTCGGGTAAAATCGGGTACATGTCAATTCAGGTTGATTTGACACCAGATCCAGATCGGATTCAGGTCAGGTCAAATCAGTTCGGGTTATTTTCAGGTTGATTTGACACCAGATACAGATCCGGTTCAGGTCGGGTCATTTTCAGTTCGGATCAATGTCAGTTCAGGTAAAAACAGCTCAGGTCCGAAGCAGATAAAGACCAGGTTAATTCAGGTTCGGGTGGACTTCAGTCGGATCTCGTTTAGATCGGGTCACATCATTGACAGATAAAATTCAGGTCGGATGTTTATCGGATACGGATTGAGTTCAGGTCGGGTCGTTTTTATTTTGTCATCTTTCGTGATTTTTGAATTGGAAGTTGTAATTGTATATGATTTCGAGTAAATTAAGAGAAAAATAAATATTCATGGATCAATTTTGTAAAAAATATATATTTAATGACAAAATTGAAGAAATGTAAAATTATAAATAAAATCTTAAAATATAAATTAAACAACACACATAGGTAAGGGACTAAATAGAAATAAATTTAAAATGTGAGGTTTAAATTAATATAAAAAGGACTAAATTAAACACATTTAAAAAATTATGGGCCAGTTACAAAAATATAAATAAATAACAACTAACAATGGAATATGCAAATATAAATTTAAGGACTAAATTGAATACATATAAAAGTTAAAGACTTAAAATTGAAATAAATTAAAAAACACAAAAGGATTAAATCGAAATAAATGTAAAATGTGAAGAAATAATGAAAAATATACTAACTTGCATTCATTCAAAAAATTGAAAAAAATATAATATATATAAATATAAAATTATATATAAACTATATAATTATTATAAACTATATTTATAAATTATATTTATGTCAACTGTATATAAAATTATAAACTATATTTATATTATAAACTATATAATTATTATAAGCTATATATATAAATTATGTTTATGTGAACTATACATATAAACTATGTATATAAACTATATATGTATAAACTATAAAAAGTATATAGTTTATAAAATATTATTTATATTAATATAGTATATATATATATATAAACTATATATGTATAAACTATATAAAATATATAGTTTATATGTTATAATTTATATTAATATAGTATATGTATGTATGTATAACAAATATAAGTAATATATAGAATATATATATATATTAAAGAAACACTATGCACAAACTATATAAAGTAATAAATTATATAGTTTATAAAAATCCTAAACCCTATACCCTAAAACATAAACCCTAAATCCTAAACTTTATAAACTATATATGTATAAATACATTTGATAATTCATATATAGTTTATATAAACAATATATTATATAAATTACATATGTAACATTAACCTATAGTCTATAAACAATAGTTAATATATGTAACTTATAGTATATGTATACATGTAAACTATATATGTAACTTATAGTACATGTATGTATAAACTATGTATAGTATATATATATATATAAATCATACAAAGTAAATTACTTATATAGTTTATAGAAACAATATACATAAACTATATAAATTAATAAAGTATATAGTTTATAAAAACCCTAAACCCTAAACCCTTAAACCTAAAACCTAAAACTTAACCCTAAACTCTAAACACTAAACATAAACAATATTTAATATATATAATGTAACCTATAATATATGTATACATGTAAACTATATATGTAACTTATAGTACATGTATCATGTATGTATAAACTATGTATAGTGTATATATATAACCTATAGTATATGTATATATACAATCTATTTATATGTTATATAAACTATATATGTAACCTATAGTTTATATTCAATAGTTTATATTAGTGTACTATATAGTTTATACTTTATAACCTATGGTATATAATTTATAAACTATAGTTTATATTAATGTACTATATAGTTTATATTAATGTTAATTATCTTAACTATAATTTATATTAATATAGTATATAGTTTATAAACTATATTATATTAATATTAATTATATTAACTATAGTTTATAAACTATACTATATAATTTATAACATATAGTTTATATTAATATTAATGTTATATACTATATTTTATATTAATATTAATTATAAATTATAAACTATATTATATTAA